GTTGGGATTTCTGTCCTCCTTCCAGCATTCCTGCTGGGCTAAAAAGAGACTCAATGGACTGATGAGAAGGCTGCTTTCAGGGGAAGGGGGAGGGCTTGACTCTCTGGGCACCTCCCTCATGAGGTAGTGTAAATATTTATATATTCTCCCCTCGGCAGATGGGGAAAAGGTTTTTGTACATTTATAAAAGGTTTGAGATTGTGATTTAAAAAGTGACTTCTCTTCCTTCTCCCCCTCCTGCCCTCTTTTGTTTCCCTTTGTTTTTACTGTACTGCTCTTTTCTATACCTGTATTCATTCACTCCTGCCCAATCTCCTGATCCCTTCTCCTGTAATTAATGGGATGGTGCAACACACTTGTCCAATGCCCTTTTCTTCCCCAGGCTGGTTAATTAAACTCCAAACTGGTGTTTCTCGATTCCTTGCTGTGTGTGTGTTAGTTGAGGAGAAGGGAGGGGAGGATACGAATTCTCACCACCTTCCAGGACAGCAGAGACAAATGAGAGGGTGTGGAATAGCACAAGGTGAAATTCTTGGATGGGGAAATTGCTCTCTTGGGTACTTTTAATTTTTGAAGTCTCTGAAAAGCATAAATGAAGCTAAATACAGAATCTATGCAGTGCTTTAATGCAAACAACCTGTGGCCCCGAAAATATTCACAGAGCACAGCTATCATGTAAATTTAGAGCTGCTGTTTGTGGAAGGTAGAAACTCGGCAGAATCAGCAGTGTTTTGGGGAAAAGAATAGGGGCCCATTTTCCTTTCCACCATTTTAAAGTAGAGCTGCTCAACATGCAGTTTCTTCACTCTCTGCAGTCCCAAGTATCACTAAAAGGTGACCTGGATTGTACTTGTTAATATGGAAAAGGGCCAGAATTATTAAAAACGGGGAATAATCGTCTATACTATTCTTGTTTGTTATTTAAAATAGTATTTCCTGCAATACCTGCTTTGTTATGGCTTAGCCCACTGTTTGAAGAGTACTCCCCATCTGCACAGATTTGGCCCTTAATCTATAAACTTTGCTGACATCTTGAAGAATAAATGAAGTTCTGCATATGGTCCTGCATATAATTGCAATTAAAAATGGGGGGTTGCATTTTGTTTCCTCCGCTCTCATCTTTTTTGTAACTAACTAAACCATAGAATAAGCCCACACGTTTCACCTAATGAAATCTTGGCTGCAAAGTAGAGTGTTTGCCATAAAACATCACTAAATTCAAAAAGGCAAATGCCTTAGATTGAAATACAATCATCCAGAATAAATATTTGCCTAGGCGACGCCCTAAGCGGGTTAGATAAAAATATTTAGATACTTTGCCAAAATTTGGGGTCTTTATTGGAATACAAGAAATACCTGTGGATATCTCTGAACCTTCCTTGAATATTATGGAGGGCAGAATTCCAGGGCTCCACCTCTGGTTTTCAATGAGCACAATGCTTTTATTAAATCGTTTGTCATTTTGTTAGAATTATGAATTGGAGCGCGCCAAGCCCAGAATGCCTTTTGATCCAGTTCGCTTATCCATAGGGAACCTTGCTGGTAGTTAAAGAATTTTTCAATTCAGTTCACACTCAGTGAGCATACCCCTGTAATTTCATCAGTAATAATATTGGCCCCCCCCCCCCCCTACTGCTGCCTTCCATATTTTTTAATCTTTTCAGTTTAGCTTCAGCTTCCTGAAGTTCTAAGGCTGTCCAAGCCTCCTTAGTTTTTCTGTGGTGATCCGGGGTCAGTTAGATGCTGTGCCTGAGTTTTCAAACTTAGCACAAACATTCCTAATGTTGGAAGGCATTTATAAAGGCAAATCACTTCCCACACCTCTCCTACTGTTACATTGAATTGTAGGGCAAAGCAGCCAATGCTTATCTTGCGACCTCCTTTAGCCCCAAATACATTTGGTATATATTTGCACCATTGAGGTGCACTATATCCCTCCAAATTCTGTTGTCAATTTAATAGTATAGCCTCACCTGAGATCGGCATAGCAGCAATCCAGAAATCAGCCTCACTGGAATTAATTCAAAGCACCCTTTTGTACAATATCCCCATGTATAAAGTAAAGATAAAGATTCCCTCACACATACATGCTAGTTATTGTTGGGGTAGTGCTCATCTCTCTTTCAAAGCTGAAGAGCCAGCGCTGTCCGAAGACATCTCCATGGTCATGTGGCCCGCATGATATAAATGCCAAAGGCGCAAGTAGAAAACTTGCATTTTTTGCATTTTTACGTGCTTTCGACTGCTAGGTTGGCAGAAGCTGGGACAAATAATGGGAGTTCACTCCGTTACCTGGCGCTAGGGATTTGAACTGCCTAACTGCTGACTTTTCTGATCGACAAGCTCAGCTTCTTAGCCACTGAGCCACCATGTCCCCGTACCCCATGAATTAGATGGAATCTAATCTAACTCACGATTGCAGGAAAAAATAGAGGTACAAAGCACGGGGTGAGGTGGGATGGGGGAGTACTAATTTCCCCCTTCTATCTCTGCCAATTCAGAAATTAAAAGGTCTTAAATATTTAATGGTGGCAAAAGCTTCTACACATCTTTAAATCCTGAAATGTCAGAGACCACAGCATCCATTTTTCCAATTTTTCTAAATCTCAATTTTTAAGAACACACACACACACACACACACACACACACACACACACACACAATGTATTTTCAAAAATAAAATGGAAAACAAATGCAAGCACTTCTATCGTACAAAATTATTTGGATTAACACGTTAAAATAAACTGCAACGTTTAATATTCTGAGCCGATTGTTCCAGTAGTAGACATAAAAAGTACCATACATTTTAACACTCAAATTAATTCTTATTTTCCTATAATCCTCATAATTCTTATGAATTTTTACCAAA